AGGTGGATATAATTCTCTCTCGATGAAATATTTATTACTGGTTGATACACCCAAAAAATCGTTTTCCAGCATATATTATTCAAGACCAAGGTTAGTTTTCAATTTCATTTAAAATTTATCTCTTCAATTTTTTAAAAATTTTAGACGGCTCAATAGTTAGTGATGTCACATCGAATTATACATGCAAGAAAAACAACACATCCAAACTAATCTACAGACAACCTTAAAAGACTGCTCCCATTTTATTTTTATTTGAAAACTTAACAGTTAAAAATTTTACAACTGCCACTTACTTCAATGTGACTTTTAAAAATAACAAATTGAAGTAAGCAAGCATTTATTAACATACTGGGATATAGGCTATAAACAGTCTCCCAAGGTTTCAATTAAAAAACAATCAGTTCAGTCTGTGAAAAGTCTTGTGCAATACACGCAGTTTGCCATGAAAGCTGAGAACTGCAACACTCGGCCACTAATTCAAAATATATTAGAAACAAAAAAATTAAAAAATTAAAACTGAAAGGGCAAAAGTTTGTAAAATGGCAGAAAGCTGAAGACAAGGTAAAGGAAATATTGAGAACCACAATCATGGCTCAACGTCAATAATCTGCAATAAGTAAAATTATAAAGCAATAAGACAGGTGGATGCACTGATGATATCACACAATGTTCTTAGTCAACAGCTGCACTAAAGGGCACTGCAATCCGTGCAAAATCAATTCACACTGATAAAATCTAAGAAGCAATAGAAACAATAGCATTTCTAGAGGCCATAGAATAGTCGTCAGTACACGGATGCAAAACCACTAAAACACACATATTTGAAAATTATAAAAAAAAGGGTAATAACACTACAAGTAAGCAATAACTGCAAAAAATAAAATAAGATAGAGAAAGGAATGAGGTATTGGAATTACTGTATCAGTGTTGAAGCATGCTATTCATTTAAGCTAAGAAAATGAAATACGAAAGTTGACTTCACTAGTAAAATGCAAATAAGGAAAGAAAATTAAAACGAACAGCAAAACACCAAAGAGATGAACGTAATGAAAGGTATAATGATTACATCATACCAAGGTATATACCAGACTTATCAGCATATTTGTGCGAGCGACATTTCGAGTTCTAGAGATTTACATAGGTGGGTTCCTGCGGTGAACTAGCAGGCCCCCCACCAGTCGAGTGGTGCATTAGGCTAGTGTGCGGGTGGGAAGGGTGATTTAGGTTCCCGAGGCTGTTGGCTCCATCCGGGCTGGTGACACCACAACGGGGCGGGCAGCACAACACAGAACAGGAGAAAACCAAAGTCAGGAGCAGAAAAAAAGGGGCATTCCCATCACCTCAGACAAGGGTAAGGAAATAAAAGATTCCAAAGTCCCCTCATTGTTTTAAATTTTATAACAGACAACAGAAAAAGTGTGATGTTAGCTCACTATGAAAACTCTCATCATACAACCCACTGTAAAAAGTATTATAAAAAAATAGGAGAGAACAGAACAGTCAGTGGTTTCTGCTCTAAATTTAATATGGGACAAGCACCTTATTGACTGAGGAGCAAGAAAAAAAACAACCACAAGTATTGGGACCAGTGCACATGGTTAACAATATTGTAATAAATGCCATTTGCTAATGGTGGTGAAAATTGAAATAAATTATGAAAATAAGGGTATTACTTTTCAGAAAATGTGTCAACCAATTTTTGAAGAAGTGGGGATATGAAAGAGAGATTGTGGTGTACTGTGAGGAAAGGAGGATGGTGCAAGACCATAAGGCTTGGATTAGCCTTCAGTGACATGCCCCTTTTTAATTTTGCTACATCTGTGGTCCAATCCGTAGTGCATTGTGCTTCGGAACTTGCAAATGGTCTACTCAATACTTGTACTACTATGCAGCCTTCACAAACCTCTAGTTATTAATGCCACTTCTGATATCTCTCTTCCATTTGGTATGATATTGGTTTGATTCTATTCTTCTCTTTGTGGGAAGACACATTTTCTGAGGATGTTATCTACAGTACTTTCCAATGTTGTTTAACTAATTGAAACAAAACTGTGCTTCAGCAAATGACCGAGGAAAAAAAAAAAAGGCCAAAACCTAGGTGCACAACACCCAAAACTACACTGAGTTCATATCAAATTAAGAGCAAACCCATGAATTTTTGTTCCCTCCCTGATTATTTGAAAGTTAAAAAATGAAAGGAAAACAATATTACAAGAGCCCGTCTTTAGCAAACACCAGCTAGCAGTTACCATGGGCTAATGGTCAGCACATTTCCTACAACCCTCTTCCCATTATAAGAAAAAAGAATGGGTCTAGTTAGCCCCAAAGATACCAACAATAACAGAAAGAGTAGAAAATAAAAACACATATGTAGATAAAATGTTGAAAATAAAACGTACAATGAATGCCCTTTTTCAAGGTTGACTTAATAGCATCTGAATAACAGAATGACATAAAATGACAGTCTTTCCACATAGAAAAGAAAAATACCAAACATAAAATGGTTAACTTGCAGTTTGCTGGAGAGATCAGGAGCACACACTACCTTGTGCCACAGTGTTTCTCTAGAAACTGCACTTCCAGCGGCTTCAATATGCCAGTGCCACTAATTCATCTCACAAAACTATCTTATCTCAGTTAATGAATTTAAGCACATCTATGTCTCGCAACTGTATAGATACCATGGAAGATAGAGAGACACTGGAACTGGCATACTTTCTCAACTAAACTTCTGCTTGTCACAATGCTAGTGGCATTGTCAAGGACAGGAAGTTTCAAATAATGCTACATGATAATTCAAACCAAATCAAAAAATTGAAATACACTACAATAAAAATTGCCAGAACTCTACAGATGATTACATCTGCACATGACATAGGTAGTTGTCTATGTCTATCTAACTGTGCGAGACCAAATCTGACATTAGACATGTTATGTTAACTGCAGCAGAATAAGAGGACGAACTCTGAACTGGATGTGATACCTGAAAACTTTAGCTACCATAACCACCAGAACCAAAAACTTGTGCTCAAAATTTTGCAATTTTCTAGGATTCTATGACAATAGGTCTAAATGCAGAGACTAATATCCTGATGACGCTCAGTCAACCCCTCGATAACTTATTAAAATAGTATGCATGATAAAATAGCATGAAGCATTTTTCTCAATGAGCATTACTGAACACTGAAACACTTCAAAGCGATTGATTGACTTTTAAATCATTAAAATTTTAAGAACTGATAAATTCAGCAAAATAGACAGCACAGGAAGAAAAGCTATTAGAGCAATGTCAAGTTAAAAAGTTGATTGGATGTTGATTGAGCGAAAACTGTACTTACAGAACCAAAGTTCAGCACTGGTGATGATGTTAACCATATTTCTACAGGACACTGGTATCAGTATAAAAAGATACGGTAATATAACTAAGTTTTTCTTACCTGCAAGGTTTGCACCATTGACTTTGTTGGTCCAGACCATAGCGAGCTCGACACTTTTTCATGTTATTTCCTGTAAAATAAGGGGGGAAAATTTAAAGATTATTGTTCAAGACATTGACTTAAAAATTACCAAGTGTAAAATTTTCTTATAGGAACTTTTAAAATTTGTGATACAAATGTTTTCGCTTTTTAGAATCAAATGTAAACTGATTAGTTTTAGGCAGCTGTCAAAGCAGTTGAAGTTAGAGACAAAGACTATTTCTGATTATCAACTATGTTAAGAAGAGCAGACTTTGCCCTCTAGTGTAATGTATTTCTCAATGAGTGTACAAGTTTTGTAACATATACCGGTACTCCATTTTCTAGTGCACAATTAAGAATTTTACTAACTCTTTTCAACAGCTTGCCATAGAACTAAGTGAAGATGAACTTAAATATGTAAATGATCCATTTCTATCTACTTGAAAAATAAGTTTCACATAATGTATTGCTTACAAGGAAGAGAAGTCAGAACAAGATTAGAAACAAGAACATGTTACTATTTATAAAAATGTTACATTTGAATAATTTGTGTAACAACTTTACGCCTGGCTTTCACTTCAGCGGTTGGGTGGCTCAAAGAGAACATATCGACACACATAAAACATAAAACAGCAATACATTATGTTGTAGCTTACAGTCATGTGAAAGAGATAGGCATGCAAACTGCGCAAGTCTGAGAAGAACGCAGGTTCATCTAGGCATCTACATCACTTGATTAAGCAGAATAGGTACCCTCAATGAAAAATATCCCTTTCCTCCTTTTCTAAGAACAATGAGTTATGCTTATATTGATGTGGTTCTTTCCCACAGGTATAAAATAAACATGCAACAAAAAGAGAAACACAAGAAAGTCTGGCTGGGGCCTATTTTGCTTCAGAAGTTGCGTACCTCCATCATTTGTTTCTTGTTTGCGTTTCCTCTTCTTACCACGAGTTGTATTGGCACGGGAAGACCAATCAGGATAAAGTTGCATATGTAGCTGTCTCTCTTTGCGAGCCAACTCATAATACCTGGCTTGTTCCTCTCTGCTTAATGCGTGCCACTATTGAGGAAGCAAAATAAAAGACACTTATTAATTTGGATACTGTTATCCGACTAGTGACCCCGAAAAGAAGAAAAGAAAGGGAACTGAACTGCCATCGACACCAGCGCTTTCAACCCTATTTCCTCCTCGATTGTGCTAGAAGTACATTCTGACATGATGCAAATTCCATTTCCAGCTCCTGATTGAAGATTTATGATTGCTGCGAATGCATATAAATTAAGTGGTTTTCATTGTAAACTTTGCTTTTTGCCTGCCTAGTCAAGTGGCTTGAAACCCAACCCCAATATGAGGCAACCTATTCTGCTGTCTTCAATGTGAGTGCACCATTTGGGTATGTGTAGATACCATGCGCCCGCACATGCCTTGGAATCTACCAGCTTCCCGGCCTGCGTTCTTTCACAGACTGCCATTCTAGCACTACCGGACTGTATTCCACCCACACTAGACAGGGGGACCAAATGGAAAGGAGGCCAAAACAAGTTTAAAGGGTAAAATATTCATTCAATGCAATTTAAAGGCCAAAATGAAAAAGAAAAAGAAAAAAAAATCATTGAAAAAAAAAAGTTAGTATAACTTGATAATGATGAAATTTAAATCAAGTTCAAACATGAATATTTATATGGAGAGAGAGGTTTGGAAAAAGCACCATCTAAGTCAAGCCATAATGTAAATGGAATACATCCACGCGGAAAATAGGGAAGTGAGCTTGAAGTATGGGAGGTACCTCCTCCAGTGTCAACCGGCACCCGCTCCTTCTTTCTCTTCTTCTTCTTGGCGCCGTAGCCGTAGTTATCTCTCGCACTCCAGGCAGGATACAGCTGCATGTGAAGTTGCCGCTCTTGCCGAGCCTTTTCATAATATTTCCCTTGCTCCTCCCGTGACAGAGAATGCCACTACAAAAATCAACACAAAATCAGTTTAAAATTTGGGGAGATATATAAAGAGGTTTCCTCATGATATTTGCACTTTTTCTTTTAGAAAGTTGCAGAATAAGATGTTAAAAAAATCTTACAAGCTAAAAAATAAATAATAATTACTTGGCAATTGGTTTAAAATAAATTTGAGAATATAGTACATCCCTGAAACAGCAGTTTTGTTGCTGTTTTGTGGGATCAAGATATATAGAATAATTAACGTAAAATGTAATGAACACAAGTATAATTCATGTGCTTATGCGATTGATCTATAGCAATGGTAGAGTCTTTGAATCAAAAGTAACAAAACTGGGAGCTGTATAATTCCATGAGGGTATTTGTTAGGTGAGAAAATAGATATAATTGAACAAATTTAGAAAAGAGCAATAGAAGTAATAGAACTTACCCTTCGGCCAAGAATTTGATTAATAGCTGCACTCTCCTTCAGGGTGCATTCTGAGACAACCTGCTGTCTCATTTCCTTCATGTACAACATGAAAGCATTAAGAGGTTTCTTAATGTGAGGTTTCTTTTTGTCTACAAAATGAAAAAAAAAGAGAGTTTTAGTATGAAAATTATTCATACAGAATAAGGAAACAAGTACTACGATTTACTAATCTTACCTTGATTATTACTGTTATTGCCAGAATCCTGGCCTTTTGAGTTATCTGAATTTGATCCAGAATTCTTCTGATGGTCCATGATTGACCTAAAAATGAAAATACCCATTAGTCTCAAAACATATAGAATGATATGCAAATCCAAAACAACCTACAATTGTTCAAATTTTGCATAAGTACCGTGAAAAATTAGAGAGTTGTGATCGTGAAAATGAATCTGACTTTGAAGAAAGGGGAGGGCTAGCACCAACAGATGACAAGGGACTTAAAGTAAGATTTTGAGAGGAAGAAACAGAAGAGGATCGACCACTTGATGCAGAAATAGAGTGAAACATTGATTCATCGTTGGAAGTCAAATCTGTAGGTGTTGCTAGGTACAACAAATTGGATAACGGCGTAGAAGATTGTGCATCAGTACTTGTTCTCCATGGTTGAAAATCCTTAACTCTAAGGAGAGACTCTTGTGAACTAGTTTTATTGGTGGTATGTGATGCGGCTGCAGAAGTTGTAGTGCTTGATGATACAGATGCAGGTGACGCTGCGGGGGGCGACATTGGCGTTGAGCTGGATCTTTCAGGTTGCACTAAATTGTGGTAAGTGGATAAAGGAGCTAATTGACTTCCCAACAATTCAGGATTAATTCCATTCTGAAGTAATTGAGATGAAGCAAATCCAATAGGAAAAGTGGGACTAAATACAGAATTTAAGCCTTGTGCTGAAAGGAGGGGATTGAGACTGGACATGCCAGGGTACAAACCAGGATATGAAGAATTAAGCAGGCTTCCCATATACATAGCAGAAATTAATTTCTGCTCATATGCTGCTATGTTACTTAGCATCACATTAATTCCATCCACAGTATTTTCTATGTTGTCAAGTCCACCTTGTGCATGTAATTTCTTCATATATTCAGCCATTAGTTTGTCAAAGACCTCCAGATAAGCCGCTGATACACCAGACGAGTCCTTGAGAGGCACTTCTGGTGGCTCTGGCTTCTTCTTTGCTTTGTGACTTCGTTTAGGAGGGGTCTCTGATTTAGTTTTATTTAAACACAATGCACTGTAAAGGTTGGGTGATTGCAAAACAAATTTTCTAAGCTCCTCTTGTCTATCTTCCCGAACATCCTCATTGATCTTTTGCGCTGCAGTCGGTGACTTCAAATCCTTTTCTCTTTTATACTCAAGATCAATAATTTTAGAATTATTATTTATATTCTTGGAGGCAGAAAATCTATTTCTTCTCTGAGAATTATCGCTAGACTTGGGTTCCCCATCTATTGCTTCTTGCTTTATTGTCGGCACTTTCAAGACAAATTTCTTAACTTTTTCTCTAACACCCAATGTCTCATTACATTGGGAGTTTTGAACCATAGAGTAAAAGTTTCCGTCCTCCTCACTCAGGTAGACGTCCTCTTCCTTGACGGGCGGCTCCGATCCCACCCTGGTCATGGTCACTGTGTTGCTCACACCCATCTTGGCCTGCGTCTCCGGGCCGTCTGTAACCTTCCGCTTGACTAGGTCGAGTGGCTGCTCGTTGCAGGGGTCGTACTCAGATTCCATGACGACTCTGGACCCTGGCGGCCGACGGGGCCGGGTCCTCTAGCCGGGGCCGCTGGGCCCGCAGCGCAGCGCGCTCCCCGTCCAGCACATGAGTCCCCGCGGCGAGCCCGACCGGCCAGGCCAGGCCGAGGGCTTAAGTGAATGGCACACTTGTTGTCGGGGGCAGCAAGGCGGACGTGGAGAGCGGGCGGCGGCGCGGGCGGCGGTCCTGGCCGCGGCCGTCGCGCTAGTCCAGCGTGGAGCAGGCGAAACACGTCCCCGCCGGGGCGGACCCCGGGCGGGCCCTGGGCGCCGAGCGACACGACCGCTCCAGGTCGTCCGTCCGTCCGTCCGAGCGAGCCTGTTCGCCACCCCTCACCGCGTCACCCTCGCACTCTCCTAACTCTCGATGACGACGACGCGAGGGCCTCCGGGGCCTAGACGCCGAGCGGGTCAGCTCCCCGACGACGCTCGCCGCCCGAACTCCGCGACAGACAGGTAAAAGAGACGACGCGCGCCATGTCGCGTGCAACACAAAGGCTGACGACGCTGACGCGGGGCGACTTGCCCTGCTCACCCTGCTCACCCTCCCCCTCGCCCCAAAGTCGCGACGGGTCACGCTTCGGAGGCTCTGCTGCTGCTGCTGCTCCGCGCTCGACGCGACGCGACTCGGCGCCGGCGCCAACCGCGGTCGACCCCTCGAGCAGGGGCTCGACCTCGGGGGAGGGCGGCCGGGACGGCGACGCGCGACGACGCCGCGCGGCGCGGACAGCACCTGCAGCTGCGCGCTACGACGGCGACGACACCCGGGCGACAATCACCTGCGCCCCCGCGCGGACTAACACGGCGCCAACGATACAGTGGCGACGCGACGACAAGAGTCGCTCCACGCCGTCGAGTAGTCGATTGTAGAGGGCAGGATCGAGAGGGCGGAGGGGTGAGACGAGACGTCCGGGGCTGGGAGGGTGGGGCGGGCGGAGGCACGCGCTGGCCGCGAGGAGGGTGGGAGCGACGGCCGCGGGGCGGGGCGGAGGAGGGGGAGGGCCGCTTTGGAGAATGAGTGCGAGCGCCGACTTTCTGTCTGTTATGACCTCAATAGCGGGGCGCGGCGGCGGGGGCCGGGGGCGCAGGGCACCTCCAGCAGCGTCGCCACACCTCAGCTCCACCTCGCAGGGGCGGGGTGGTTGTGCTGTATCGAGCCGGAGGAGCCCGCCCGCCCACCCCTCCGTCTCCTCGTCATCCCCGCACGGCGCCACTTTTCTCGCAAGAAAGGAAAGAAAAGATTCACTCACCCCTGCCCCCCTCCCCTACCCCGCTCTCTTTCTTCCGAGGCGCGCCGCCGCCGTCGTGCGGGGGAAGGAAAGGAAGGTAGGGTCAAGTGCCGCCGACTTCCCTTTCCCCCAAAAGAGCAAAAGAGCAATTCGTAGAAGACGCTCCGGCAAGGGCTCCCCCACCCCCACCTCCGTTCCCCCTTCGGTTTTTAATTTAAGGAGCACGGACAGGGCGCACTTTCAGCAGCAGCATCGTCGACGACCAAATGCGTCGTCGACGCCGAGTAAATAAGTCTTCCTTCTCTCTCTCGCTCTCTGTCTAGCTGGGGGAGCAGGTCGCGCGCGCCTGGCTGCGGGCGGGTGCAAATGATATGGGAGAGGGGAAAGGGTGGAGGGGGAAGGGTGGCAGCAGAAGCGACAACGATGCCTCGCACAGCCATTCATTGATCGGTCTGACAGCCTCCCAGAGCTTTCTGCTGCCGCTGCTTGACTGCTTCAGCCCCCGCCCCGCCCCGCCCCGCCTCGCGGGGTTATAGAGAGACAGAGTGCGAGGTGTCCTGTCCCGCAGCTCGCCCTCGCCTCGCCGACTCTCGGGGGATGAATGCTCCGCCACACTCCTCCTGGCGCCATCTGTCGGCGCCCGTCCGGCCCAACAACCCCCGCGCCGCCGCGGCTACTCCTCACCACCCCGCCCGCGATACCCCTTGCACTTCAACCCCTACAATAACCACTACCACACCACTCCTGAGAGTGATGCCGCAAACAACTCTCTATCTCTCTCTTACTCACTCGCACCTGTATACTCAGATTGCAGAGCGAAGCGAAGCTCTTGTGGGATCTGCTAGTTACAAAAAATACATCGTCCGGCACCTCCGACTCAGACAGGCTTCTCCCATGACTTGACAACCCGTACCCACCCCTACTCTTCATCCCCGGTGCCCCCCTAGCTGACGTAGAGTCCTTTCTTGAAGAGGAATGAAGTCGGTTTCTTCAAAGACTTGTTCGACGTGTTTCGACGACGTCGATGGCACAACGATGGACGACCAGGCGACCAACGACGAAACGTGAAAGAAGTGCGTAGGAGTGAGTAGTGGGGAAGAGATAACAATTTTCCCCCCAAATTTTTTTCAGATGAAATGTTAAGGGGCCAGTTTTACGTTTTTTCTGCGCAGTAAAAAATTAATCCCATCTTTCTGTGTTTTTCTTTCTTTCTGGAAAAGTTTGAAATTTGTCCAGCTGTTGGTGCTAGCACGTGACTGTTTTTGACGGGGGGCGATTACGTACCTGTGGTTGTGGTCGCCCTGGTGCTGCTGCAGGTCCTGCTTGGGGCCGGGCGTGACCACGGCCGGGTTGGAGGACAGCGGGTGGGACAGCGGGTGGTGACCCGGGTGGCCCGGGTGGCCCGGCGGCCCGTGCGGGCTGCCCAGGCCGGGGTGGTGGTGGTGGTGATGGTGCGCGGGCAGCAGACCCGTGGGAGAGAACCTGGAAGCAAAAAGCCAAACGATAGAACACCAGTCAAGTGCGGCTCGGAAGGAGGGAGGACAGGAGAGCCCCATACCGACCGTGAGCCCCGATCAGGGCGCCCTCAGCAGCCCAGGCTCACCTCAATGACTTCCCCCATCCCCTGCCACTCAATCGCTCACTCATCCGCGGCCGAACCACACTCCACCAGCTCCAACGCGCCAGTCGAGGCTTGGCGAGGTGAGAAAAGCCCCCCAGCTCGATGGCAGTGCACACACAAACTCCTCTTCCAAACGCAGTGCGACGGCGTTGGAGCGAGTAGGCCGATTAATGAGAGCTCCATCATCATCACCCCCACCCCCTCCAGAGCTTCACACCTCGGCTGAGAGGCAGCAATCAACTCGACTCACAAAAAATAAAAAAAATCATGATCGTTTTTCCCTTTAATTAAAATTTGATATCGATTGGATGTTCCCGGAAGCATTAACTATGCCACTCGACGTCACTGGTGGCGCATAAAGGAACGTCCTCCACGCACACACACACACACACACACACACACACACACACACGAGTATTACTCACCAGGAGGCTGCGACCTGCGACATCTCCGGGCTCAGCATAGGGTAGGGGTACTGCGCCGGCGAGAAGGGGTACATGGGCGCGCGGGTGAGACCTGCGGGGCCACAGAGGAACACGGTCAGCACGAGGGACACAAAACAGAGGGAGAAAACACAAAAAAAAACTGAATCAAAGTCCATGCAATTCCGTTACAAAGTACAAACTCCTCTCTACGAATGAGGGCGACAGCCATGCTCTCCCTGACACATAATTATCAACCGTTTCTACAGACTACACACACGCCTCATGCAATTGCAGCTACAGAACTGATGTTGTTAGGCCGAGCAACAATCCACGTATTTTGTAATATTTTACCCCCGTCTTTAAAATTTCTGCTCGTTTCTAAGAGCGTGCTTACTAAAATTTTGAAAGAGAGCTTATTCGGGAGCAAGAGAGAGAGAAAGAGACAGAAGACAGAGAGGAGAGAGAGGGGGGGGGAGGACGAGAGAGAGAAAGAGGGGGGGAGGACGAGAGAGAGAAAGAGAGCGAGAGAGGAGAGAGAAAGAGAGCGAGAGAGGAGAGAGAGAAAGAGAAAGAGAGAACGCGTGCTTGAGTGCCATGCAGGCGCCGGGCTGACGCAGCATGCATGAGCCAGTGCGCTGCGGGGAAGTGTCTCCCGTGTGTGCAACCTCATGCACCACCGGCGGGGGCGGGGTGGGGCGGGGCGGGGCGAGGCGCCTGCACGCTCCGCAGCATGCCCCTAACGAGCTCATTACTGCCGTTCCATTGATCAGCAGCGCTGCGCTGGCCTCCGG